GTGGGGAGGAGCCATGATAATAACAAACTGCTTTAGGACATTGGATCCTACCAGATAATGGGAATCTATAATGAATTTTCACAATTTTGTACAGACTTTAAAAAGTGTAGAACAGAAAGACATTATTTCTGTATTATATACATAATTATATACATGGTTTTAATATAAATATAATTTATGTTATAATGATTATAATGTCAAAGGGATAAGCAATATAGTATCCTTGGATACTTCTCTTGATACATATCAAATTCTCTGCTCCACCCTGATTTATAATTTTCTGTTTAGGGGTTCTTTTAAAATGGGAAAATACAAGAGCCAGTTTCTATAATTACCCTTATTTTCAATAATACATCTGGGCCTCCCATAGGGCCCCAGGCAATCTTGGAAATAAAAGCTGCAGTCTGGTCCTTGTCCCTTGCCTGGAAAAAAGAACAAAAATAAGCTTTACCAATGGAAAGGCTTAATGGATTTGCTCAAAGCCAACTAGAGTCCCTCATTAATGCAATGATTAAAGTAGACTTCTTTACATATTACAGAATACTTAAAGCACTTTTGAGTGCTCTGAAAAATGATTACAGACTAACAGAAGCAGGTTTTAAAGGAAAAAATGGTTGAGCATATGGAATTAACATTCAGATCCTAGAGTCAGATGCAGTTATACCGAACTAGGTTTTGTACTGTTAAAGAGGTGCATTGCTCGGAAACAATTAAGTGTCACACTTGCTATTTGTTACTAGGGTCTAGCCAGAACATTTACTATTAGTAAAAATTGTAGACTGTAAGAAATAATAAATTTCATAATGGTTTTAAAGTTTTATTGGAGGAAGTCATTTGTATCCCTTGAGAGTGGGGATCTAAGTTAAGCAGAGACAGTTGAAGCACCTCTTTTGTAACCAAACAAAGCTTTTTTGTAAGAAATACAAATGGAGGAGAGGTGAAAGTCTACCTTCTAGCTACCTCCATTCTTTTCAGGGAGATAAAGTGTATATTTGCAAAACTAAAGCAGGAAGGAAATTCTATGAAATTTGCAGTCACCGACTCACAGATAAAGTAGGAGATAAATTGGAAATACAAGGTGAATTCCTAACTCTATGCCCCCAAATTATGTGAGACTTATTACTCCTTTGAAATCTGGGAACTTCATGGATACATCCATGTAATTTTCTTCAAAACAGTATGGCAGTGGGCTATTACTGCCTTATTTCAGTATATTTGATCACCTTCCCAGATGATCTAACCTACAGCTCCAGGATAATATTCCTTGAAGGTCTCACACCCAAATATTAATCAGATCCAGCCCTGCTTAGCTTCCAAATGTTAAGGTCAGCCAGGTGCTGCCACCTACTGAGACTATTTCTCAGGAAATATATAGAAATATATTGTAAAATCTTTGCTAGTATGTTGAGCTGAGAGCCAGTTTGGTCTAGTGATTAAGGCTCCAGGCTAGAAAGCAGGAGACTGTGAGTTCTAGTCCCACCTTAGGCATGAAAGGTGGCTGGGTGACTTTGGGCCAGGCACTCTCTCTCAGCCCACAACATCAGATTCAGGCAACAAGCCAGTGGGTCAATTCCTGTTGCAACCAATGGATCAACATTCAGTTGATCCGGAAAAAAATGGACCCTTCACCTGCGGAAAAAACACTAGGAAGAAAAAAAATTGCTAGTATGTTGAGTGCTTTTTTTCATGTAGCCTGAAAATGTAAAGGAAATACAATAAGCCAGAATTTCCAAGGATTTCAGCTTATCATAAATGAGCAGATACACATTGCTCAATTGCTTCCACTCTGCTCCTTCTGCCAATTGAGAGGACAAAACAAATGGCAGAAATTGATTCTGTGATAACTTTATCATTTTATTACTCAAATCAGGATTCCTGCCCTGATTCTCCACAAATCAAACATGGTTTGTTAGGAAGGAAATAAACAAAGGAGGCCAGTTCAGATTATCTTTCTTATGTCAACATTCCATTCATTATGTTGGGAGATTAATCTATTTTCTGACACTTTTTTCTACAGGACTCTTACCTTCTGTTCCTACAGTTTCAATCTTGTTTCTTTCACTCCTTTCATTCCTTTCTTGTGGCCTGTCCCACAATCAGAACAATTCGTTACCCTTGCATCCTTCACTTCTCTCAATTTTTTGTCATAAACAATCGAATCAATCATTTGAAATTTATATTAATTCCTTTGCCATGTATAAGTATATATATACTTAAACCACATATTTAAAACAGACATTTTTCTAAACAGATACTCACTTGACATTGTTTTCATTTGTTTAGGAGTTTCAAAATGATGTAGTCTCTTGTCTCATTCTCACCCATCAATTCATGTCACCTAGCAAAATAATTTTCCCCTGGATCATATTCATTCAGAATGTTGCATAATTTCTTTTATTAATTCAAGGTTTTTACCACTTATTCCTCTTGCATTCCAGTCTCATTCTTCAATGTGTTATGTTCATCACTAGATGGGCCAATAGATGTTGACCTCCACTATCCATTTTGGCTTTCATCAGTTAAGGGTTTTTTTTTCACATAACTTTTTAGTAAGATAGAGTTGATATAGACTAGGTTAATAGTCTTTGTTAAATCCATGCTTTGTGTAGCATTCCCTCTAACAGTAAGGACAAGTCCTACCAAAGGCTAGCTTTAATCTAACCACGTTCATGCTATTTTATGCAAGCTGGGGCCTGTAATCTAGAGAACATCTTGCAAACCAGCATACCATTACCTGCATCCCATGAACTGGCAGGCATATGCAATGTACAAACCCAAATTCATAATGTGCTCATAATTTCAAATTTTGCCTTCCCACTATAATGCTTTGAACCAGCTATATCATCTGTATCCATCTAGATGTTGCTGAGCTACACTTCCTAACAATCCCAGCCCCGTAGTCGGGGTAAGAGGTTTTAGAATGTGGGAAATTGTAATTTAGTGATACTACAAGGCCATAGCTTTCCCAACTCTAGGGTACAACATCTCAGTTACATTTGTGCTAATACTAAATTAATATTTGCTGTACATTGATTAATTCTGATATGAGAATATGTAGAGAGATAATTGATGTTTTATATTTTATAAAAAACTATACCTAACAGCTTGTATTTCTTGAAATAATCTTAACAGTTCCTAAACTTTGGGAACACGTTGCCGCTAAAAATCAAGAGCAGTTTCCTATCAATTATGTTTCATAGTATGCCAGTAATAACTAAATATATTCTTGGTGCTGGCAGCTACTAAGCGGATCCTTGACCAACCACTTCATCTATTACTTTAGTACTGAATCTGAGAATGAAAAATTAATATCAAAGTCAGTTTGTTTATTTGGTCCCGGTGTACTATAATAGATATAATAGATTGATTATATCATGTAAATTACAAGCCTTTACTATAATGATGGCTTAGACCATTAGGATTCTTCATTCCACCCTTCCAGTTTAATACTGGCTTCTAAAATTCTCTACACTTTCCTAAGACAAAATAGTGTATATACAAAAAAAGCAGATACACAATGCAGTATAATTATTTTGATGAGGCAAAAATATGTTTAGTAAGCTCAGTAATCATATGCTAATTAAATATGGGCAGACCCTCCCCCGCAGTTTCTTCAGAGAAGAAGACAAACTAAAAAGGTCCCTTTGCCATCCCTGGTTTCCATCTCCTTCCCAAAGAATTATTTCTTTTAGAAAGGGGGATGGCTTATTAGAGCAATTACCAATGGCCCAGTTCCCTTACTCTTATACAAATATTTTTCTGTTATAAAGACGTTTTTCTTTTATACATATTTATGTTGCCTGCACACTTATCCAGTGTAAGCTGATTTTGAATCAAGACCTTAGCAGTCTTAGTCTCCTGTGGAAATTTGTATGACTTTGGCATGAAATTTAGATTTGGGACTTTTGCTCTTAGAAATCTATGTACTTCCAAAAGAGTTGTATTTTAATAATGGGAAAGATACCTATGTGAAAGCTTTCAGCTGGTGGAGACTGTTTATCCCATGTTGTCTCCCTCCATGGAGTCTAAATAAGCTGTAAGCCCATTCCTCTTTGTTGATTATTTGGTGAAAGCGTTCCATGAGATGAAGGGGAAGTAAAATCAGACGGGTGGTCTTGCCCCTAGTCTTACAAGCATCCCTTTCTTCTTGCCTGCCTCCACCACCCCCATCCAGATATTAAGATGGACTTCTTTTTTTTTTGTATATCCACATTCAGATGCCAGGAGAAGACTCAGTGGCACAATCTCATTTCTTCTTCATGGCATAGAGTTTTCCTACACATGCAAGGAATGAGTATCATGATCTTTTTTGCCATTGGCTCTAGAAAAATGGCACGTAATTTGTACTCTCCTAGTGTACACTGCTTCCATCCATTGAAACCGTGATAGAGGAGCCCTTTAGGAA